TCACATTTCTTGTCGCACTGCATTCAGGCCTCCTTGAAATTCATGGGGGGACCATGCATTGCAGTCACTTCTCAAAGTATTTTAGATACTGTTGCAAATCCCCAAATGAAAAGAGTTTATCCACCTGTAGCAGGTAGATATCCTTTGGAGATGTTAGTGGACAGCTTGTTCCTGTGGAGCTAAAACCTCTGTGATAACTAATGTGCTCCATTATTGCCTACTTCATTTATTGCATTTTTTGGGTCTGTTTTCTTTACTGCAACCATAATTGCTGGTTCACAAAAGATGCCTTAGGTCCAGTCATTATTTCTTAAGAGCCTTCTGCAGGGTCACACAGCTGCTACCAGTGCCCGGGGAAGAAGGAAGCTAAAGAGACTCTTTCTGCATTAGGGGAATGAAATTAGTAGATAGATGGGGAATGTCTAGTAGGGGGAACATGTACATTTGGAACTTTTTATAACACACTGTGCAAGCATTGCTGAAGACAGCACATTCTGTGGATGAAGGGGACTATCTCAATCACGGTAAAACAAAAAAGAACCACCACGAAATATATTAAAGATCATCCAAAAACAAGCTCCATTGTATTTTTTAATTACATTTTATTTTTGTACTTCAAAAAAACCTCAAGGGCAGAAAAATCTAGTCTAAGAGCTAATATACATATATATGTATTTCTGTGTGAATCATATCTGTTACACTGTAAGTTTGACTAAGGAGACAATGGTTACCTTCACAAATATATAATTCAATCAATAATTTAATAATTCCAATATGCGGTGGATACTGTCTAATAATCTATTCCTGTTGGTATGTAAATTAACAGACAAAATATTATAATTAAAGAATTAGGAGAATCCTCATCTGGCTCAACGTTAGCTATCTAATTCATGATCACACATCCCTCTTTAAGAAATAAAAAATTAAAAACTCAGTCAGCAAAGATAAAATGGAAAATATGGTATTGACAGTCTTAGGGCTGCTAACCTCCACGTGGAGCTTGGCCTTTTTCCAGAATTATACCTCATTTCCATACTACTGAGATCAGCTCCCCTGGAGAAAATGGCTGCTTCGGTTATGCCCCACTGAGGCCTCTCCCTTCCCCTCTCCCCACTTCAAATCCCCAGGAGTTTCTTAGCCTGGAGCTGAGAACCCTAAGCTCAGTCTCCACCAGTACTAGGGTGGAGTCTGGGTCTGTGGTGCCCTCCAGAGTTCCCCTTTATCCACCAGGCCACCCCCAATTCAAACATCAGTAAAGATGGAGGTTTGCCTCCACTCTGCTCCCTGTCACTCCTGTCTTGGGAGTGGTCTGACCTGGCCCTCCTTGGCCTCCCTGGGTGGGCCTAACAAAGGATTGTCTGGGGGTGGGCTCACCCATAGTGGGTCCTATGGTGCAAAGGGAATCTTGGCCAATGGCCTCCCTGGTTTGCCCCTCTCTTTTCCTGCTCTGCCCTCCACTGAGGTATTAAGAGACTCCTCTGCCTCTCTGCCCAGGCCCCAGGAGTCCCCAGCTGCTGCTGGCCTCCTCCTCTGGCCTGTTGCCAGGTGTGGTTTGCTGCCTGAGCCCCTCCTCCCTTCTGAGGCAACCTATTGGGCCTGCCAGGCTCTGAGGTGGCTGCCGGTGGTGCATTTCCAGGTGTGCCCTCACCCTTGCTCCCTTCCCCACTCCTCCACTTGCAGCTGCTGGATGACCTTGGGCAAGCCACAGTTCTGTCAGAGCTGTCCTTGAAAAGAGCAGTTTCTGTCGAGAGCTCTCTCAGCCCTTCCTGCCTCACAGGGTGTCTGTTGTGGGGAGGGGAAGGGAAAGGAGTTTGTAAGCCGCTCTGAGACTCCCTTGGGTAGTGAAGGATGGGGTATAACTCCAATCTCTTCTCTTTTTCTTCTGCCTGGGTGAGACTGGCCCCTGCCAGAGTCACTTCTGGAGCAGGTGAATGTGAAGGTGGGTTTACCATCCCTGGACAAGTATTATATAGGAAAGAAGCAGTTTAGCTTTATTTGTGCCTAAAAATAATTCCAGACATCTGCTTTAATAGATGTACACCAAACCAGAACAGCCATAAATAATGTCCTGATCTTGTGGTTGCTTTGCCAACCAGATGACTCGAAGAGTGTTCCCAAAGGATCCGTGTTATATACAAAGACACATCAGGCTCTTCAGTGTGAACCAGCTCCTACCGTCATGAATCAGGAGTCTTGAACCACTTTGGTTTCAATTAGTAGGTTTGCTTTTCCTCATCCTTGTTCTACAACGAGCCTTATTTCCTTCAACTGCATTGAACTGGATTTTCTCCAGTGCAAACAAGGGAATAACTCTGACATATTTCTCCAAGCGGCAAAATGTTTTATCTGTCTTTTCCTTCTGCAGAGCCAGCTGGAAGTCTGACAATATCCAGAGTATTAAAATGCATTTCCTGACCACAAATAAGGCTGTGTTAATATACCAGCGAGCCAGAGCTTCCATAGCACAAGGTCCGATTGTAACTGGGTAGTAGTATTCAGCAAGTAGGCCTGCTGATAGGAGGAAGGGTCAGATTTGGAATCTATCTGCCAGTTTGTTTGTTTGTAAGATGCTAACATACTCTAGCATGCCTAAGAAACCGCCCATTTTGAGAGCAGGCTGATAGGAGCAGGCTTGATTCTCATTGCCTGGAGTCTCCAAGGGCAAGGAGCAGCTTTTACTCTAAGTCCTGTGATCCTTTCTATTTTCTCTTATATAGTTAGGGTTACCAGCTCTGGGCTGGGAAATACCTGGAAATTGGGGGGCAGGGTTTGGTGAGCGGAGGGTCCTCAGCAGGGTATAATGGCATAGAATCCAACTTCCAAAGTGGCCATTTTCTCCAGGTGAACTGATCTCTGTTGCCTGGAGATCAGTTGTAATTGTGGTAGATCTCCGGCCACCACCTGAAGGTCGGCAACCCTATATACAGGGCTATTTTTGGGCAGGAACGCACAGGAATGGAGTTCCGGCTGGCTCCCAAGTTGGCCACACCCAGCAGGAACTCATTAGCATAATAGGCCACACCCAACAGCAGAAACGCATTAGGATTGGCTACATTAGGGGTGTGTGGCCTAACATGCAAAGGAGTTCCTGCTACAAAAAAGCCCTGGGTTTGGACAACAAACAAGGTAAACAGAATACGAAGCAAAAGGTGGGTGTGGCTGGATGACCACACTTCTGGTAACATGTGGGTGCAGCCTAATGTGCTAATGAGCTGTGCTGTCAGGGGTGTGGCCCAATATGCTAATGAGTTCCTGCTGTTGGGTGTGGCCTAAGTTCCTGCTGGGCTTTTTCTACAAAAAGAGCCCTGCCTATATATAAATTAAGGGTTGCCTTTCACTGCCATGTAAGGAAGTAAAGTTCTGTACTTGGGAAGAATGTTACAGTAGGGGATATAAGCAGACAACAGCCCCATCCATTTTAATCTGAACTGAAGGCCTTCTAGAACCAGAAGGATTTAAACCCAGCCTGAAGACCTGAATAGACAGTGTCTCTTTGGGTGCTAAAAGAAGAGATGTTCACAGTTTGGGCAACAGCTGGAAATGTTCTCCTGTGGTTCCTGGGCAACTTGACCATAGCTAAGACCAGTTTCCTGGCATGGACCTCATCATCCAGACAGTTTGACATCATAATCATTCATCATAATGTTGGTATTTTGCTGCAAACATACATGCATTCTGTGCCCGTATAGTGTAAAAGTTAGAATGTTATGTGAGGCTCTTGGCTTAACCTATATCATAGAGTTGTGATGAACAAATGGGAAAGGGGAAGTCTGCGTATGCTACCCTTTGATCCTTAGAAGGAGGGCAGGATAAAGTATACAGACAGATACAGATACTGGGGTGGAGGCATGAGTCCTGTTGTCTGGAGAGACTTCTCTGGGGAGGGGAAGGAGGGAAAATCCATGACCATCAGCTGGCCATTCATGCCTCCAACCCAATAAATGTCAGTTCTGGGATCATGGGACCTGAATGCTGATTTATTAGTAGGTCGTGTGGTAGGGTTTTCTGTTGTATTGCCTGGTCCTAATTGCAGGTGTAACACATTTTTCAGTTTGGTCTCTCAGAATGAAGTCAATAGGATTCTTCGTGATATGAAGGCCACTATCTAGCACTATCTAGCATGCAAGATGTTTCAATATTTGGAGACTACCAATCTGACCACATAGATCCTTTCTACAGTAACCTCAAGGCTCAGCTGTTGTATGTGCTCTGCATCGGGCTGCCCTGAAAAATTACCCAGAAACGTCTGTGGGTACAGAATGTGACAGACCACTTGTTATCAGGGTCTAGCTATAAAAAGCATATTACTCCTATTGTGCAGTCACTGTTTTCTAATTTGATTTTGAATGCCATTCAAGGTGCTGATGCTTACTTTTGAAGTCCTACTAGCTCAGGGCCCAAATACTTGAAGGACCAAATCCCATGAGCCTGTGTGGCAACATCTCTCAATGTAGCAACATATCCTGGTTGTTCTACCATACCCCACAAAGATGTGCTCTACTGCTGTCTCGCTCTCTGGCTGGCTGCCCTCAACCTTTGGAATAGCTTTCTGGAAGAACAGATGGGGGCCTCAGCTTTGATAGAGTTTAGTTAGGGCCGCAATAGTGATCTCTTTAAAAGAACCTTGAGAATCCCCTAATACTTAATAAGATCTAAGGACTTTATAGACCCATTGGTCATTGATCTGTTGAGCAGGCACTATGCATCATATTTTAAGGGCTGCTTTGCGGATAGTTGTTTTAACATATTATTCCTGTTGTTTGGCTAATCCTTTAGAGAGTTTGTTATTTGCCTTTGGTCTTAGTTGGCATATCAGGATCTAAAATAAATAATCTGTGAAGAAAGGGTTGATGGGTTGACAACGCAGGAACTGATTGTTTTTGTCTGGGCAACTGGCAGTTTTGTGGGCAGGTGAAGAAGTAATTTCCTCTGCCTTGAACCTCATAGGATGGAAGATCCATAATTCAAGGCTGATCTTCTTCTCGTTTCTTTTCCCCTAGACTTCTGAAAAAGGAAGAAAATTTTGTCTTCATTCCTCGATCCCGTGAAGAGCTTCCAGACAACTTTCCAAAGGAAATCCCTGGGATTTGTTATTTCCTGGAGGTCAGAACTGGTCAGAAGCAGCCAAAGACCTCCGTCACATCTGCCAGAGTGAGAAAGATTTCCTACAACATTGGCACCATGTTCCTCCGAGAAACAAGCCTATGAGGCCGGCTGCAGATCAAAGACTCATCACAAAAGCACAAGCCCAGAACTGGGTCATGACAGGAGAAGGGAGATTCTTTCTGTTTCACTGCATTGTTCCAAGCAAGCAGTTAAAAAAAAGCTCCGTGAAATGTCAGGCAATAATTCTTTTTAAAGGTGGGTGACTGCTGTCAATAAACAAACTGGAAAAGGGGAGACGGCCGGGGGGAGGGTGTTTAAAACACAAGGGTTTTTTAAAAAAGAAATTAAATTAAGCAAAATACTTCTTCACTGCTGGAGCTGCTGCTGGTCATAAATGTCATTGTGGGTTAAAAACAAAACAAAGACATCCAAATTAATTTTTTCTTACTGATGGACACACTCCGCTCAGCAGTGGGTCTCCTGTGCCAGTTCCCTTTAAATTGATGGAGTCGCTAGTGGATTGGTTCCTTCAGAAATGGGTGGGAGATTTATTTTTGGAGGGCATTCTCCATTTGTGTCAGTAGAACTGATGCAGGTCCCTCGCACAGGTAAAATGCACACAGGATTCAGAGCGGCAGGGTTTCAGTGACATCTTAAATTTGCACCAGCTAAGCCAAGAGTTCTGACTGAGATGCATTCTCGCCTTTAAAAATGTTATTCACTAAGAGGGATCTTTTAAGACTAAGGATTAAAAAAACAACAACACCATTTCATATGAATACTGTAGAGACCATTTATAATCTTCCTGGCAGAAGGAATAATTATTCAGTATATAATATTGTAGAGATTTTACCTTTTTTATATATACATTTCATTTTGTGGACAAAGAATATTCCATGCACTGGAACAAGTATGAGGTCAGTTGACTACTGTATATTCTGTGCCATCTTTCCAACTTATTCTGGTTCTTGTTCAAACAATAAGAAAGGCCATTTTTTTTGTTGGGGGGAGGGTTGCAAGAACACCATGTGGGTTATTTTCTTTTCCTGACAGACGTTTGTATTTTGCTTATCTAAAAATGACATGCTGTCTTTGCCCGGCTAATACAGTCAGTCTAGGCATCAGAAGAACAATGGAAGTAAAAATGGTGATTGTTCAGCCCAGTTCCGGGTACATTGCTGGAAGCATCCCGCTCTGATTCCTGATTGCTTTGACTCAAAGCTCCCGCTAATTCGTGGTAGAGCCTCAGCCATCCAACCAGTACGGGTTGTGTTAGGAGCTTTTTTTGCTTGCCAATGACAGTTCTTCATAGTTGATGGGAAATGACTGGGAAGTGGATGAGGCAAGCACCATGACCTCCTCCCAACAGGTGCACAAAACCACTCCCTCATATTGTGCCAGATTTTACCCAGAATACCTACCCCCGTGGAGTCTGCGTTCAAAATCACTAACACAGATCACTAACACAGTCTCCATTTCACCTATCTGAAATCACTGAAATGATGGGAAGTATTTAAAATCGAAGTCCTTTACCGGTTCGGGGGGGGGAGGGGATGTCAATTGACTTCTCCTCATTTGGATTTGTTACAAAAATTCAAATGTATATTCTCATTTTGTATATGGTTCCTAGTTGTGATTTAGAAAAAGAGGGCCAAAGGTAGGATGCCTGTCATCCAAGTACTGATCTTCACAGTTTTGTACTCTGTCGAGGTTTGGGTGGAGTATTTCAAACATCCAAAGCTGGACATGCTGGGGTCAAATTTTGGAACTATGATTCATTCCAAAGCTTTGCAAAAAAAGTTTGATTCTGGCACTGTTCTTTTATAGCCGTGTTGATTGTTAGTAAGATATGGTGCCTCCAGTCTCCAAGGGTAACCAGACCAGATCAAGACTGCAATAATATGCACTTGGGTTTAAGCCCCATCGAATGAAGTGGAAGTTGGTGGTGGCAAGAAGTTCCATCAAGTCTCAACTGACTTATGGCGACCCCTGGTGGGGTTTTCAAGGCAAGAGACGTTCAGAGGTGGTTGGCCATTGCCTGCCTCCACATCACAACTCTGGTATTTCTTGGAGGTCTCCCACCCAAATGCTAACCAGGGCTGACCCTGCTTAGGTTTCAAGATCTGATGTGATCGGGCTAGCCTGGGAGTTACTTCTTAAACCCATACCTTTAGGCTACTGGCTGCACTGGAGTAGTACCATTGATCTCAAGAGGACAGCTGCAGAGCAAACTGCTTGAGGACTGTGATGTAGGGTATCACAACACGTATAAAAACATCACTAGCACATACTCTCATGTTCCCTTTTCAGACAGAAACATTTAGTAAAGAGGTTTTCATTTTTCTAAAAAAATGAAAGCATTTTGTGTTTTTCACCTTTTCATACATCAGCAACGTGCAGTATATCTCTCACATGCCAATATGCTTTGAAAAGCAGGAAAAAGCATATAGCCCAGGGCTTTGTAACCTATGGCTCCAGAGCCACACGTGGTTCAGTATGGAACCAAATATGGCTCTTTTAAAAAGAACATCCCATCTGTAAGTTAAAGTATATTGGAGGGCTAGAATACTGTGTGGGCGGAATGGCAGGCCAAAATTTTTGTGGCACTAAAGAGCTTCTTAGAAATGCGTTGCAGAAAGGGGAAATGACAGAGGGGTACAGTTGCCAGTAATCTGAGTGTGAACCATTCACAAAATTATTCCTGCACATGAAAACAATTGTGCAGGGTGTTCCTGTGTATCAATACTTACTGTAAGACTCCTGCAGCTGAAAACAAGATTTCGCCGGTACCACCTTAAATCAGAGATGTATTATGGTTCATGGATCAGAGCTGTCCTAATCCGTTGCCTATATATGTATATGCATAGAGAAATGTGAAACTTTGGAGATGAAAAGATTGTGCAAGGAGTGGCAGTGGGTCTGTGACATTCCTAAGTAGTGCCCAAATGTGCTGAAGATAAGAAGCTCTACATAGAGCTCTGTATAGGCTGAGTGCTGCCCTATATTTCATGATCATTTGTCTCCACTGTCTATGCATATATCTCCGGACTGAGGATAACATTTCATGCATCTGGCTGACAAAGTGGGCATCTGTCTGTGAAAGCTTATGCCATGATAAATCCGTTAAAGCTTGAAAGTGCTGCAAAATGCTTTGTAGTCTAGTGCAAGTCCAAACAGTTCCAACAGAACCTTGAAGATTTATGCCTGGTGCAATTCTTGCAACTGGAAAGTTGAAGTATAGAAGGATATTGTGTTTCTCTGGTTTTGTGTCCCTGGGGCTTTCTTGACAGTTAACAGCTGGCTGGCAAATCATTTCTGCAATAGAACCTACAGTGGAATGCTAATTTGAAGCTGAACACAGTCTGTGTCTTACACATGAGCACACAGGTTTGTGTTTGTACGGCATTTTGAGGATAAAAAGCCTAACAAGGATTTCAGCTGGAGTCAAAGGTGAGGGAAAGGTCTCCCCTTCACTCCAAAGGACACAGAATAAGGCTGATTTTTGAACAGTTCAAGTGGGTAGCCGTGTTGGTCTGAAGCAATAGAACAGAGTTTGAGTCCAGTGGCACCTTTAAGACCAACAGAGTTTTCTTCAAGGTGCGAGCTTTCGTGTGCACGCACACTTCATCAGATGATGAAATGGAATTATATATCATAGTTGTATATATAGGAGTGGTGTGTTAAATTAGCATGCAAAATAGTGAGGAGACTTTTTTAAAAAAAATGATAACCAGGAACTAAGCTTGTCATTCTTTTGATCTGTTAAAAAAAAGTGTCCTCACTATTTTGCATGCTAATTTAACACACCACTCCTATATATACAACTATGATATATAATTCCATTTCATCATCTGATGAAGTGTGCGTGCACACAAAAGCTCACACCTTGAATAAAACTTCGTTGGTCTTACAGGTGCCATTAGACGCTGATTTTTGGAGTCATACATCTACACTGCAAGGGTTCTTGAAGGGTGTGGCGGGGAGGCATATGTTGTTCCCAGTCTCTCCCCCCTCGAGATTAGTCCACATTGTGGCATGTTTCGAGGCAAAGTGTCAAGTCATCCTTTTCAGCCAGAGAGGACCACCCTCTCTCTCTCTCTCTCTCTCTCTCTCTCTCTCCCTCTCCCCCCCCCCTCTGTTTGATCTTAGTTACTGGGAAGATGTTTTGGAAAAAATTATAAGCAGAAAAAACAGGGAGATTCCATGTGCCCAGATTTGAGAATCCCAGGTAACAGGATTGATAAAGTCACTTCTTGGAAGCCTCAACCAGTGAACAAAGGGTTCTTTTATGCCAGACTCAAGCTGTCAGACCTCCTGATTTCTTGGATTGATAATTTCCTTCATGTATTTAAGGAAGTACTTCCAAATTAGAAGTATGTATGAATTAAAATTGCTGTCAAGCAGGCAAGCCAGCAAAACCAGCCATACTGCCTTGAAGTTTGTAGGTAAAAGCTCTTCGGCCAGATCCTTTAACTGTTCTCTCAGCATGTTATGTAAAACAGGTGTTTTGCCAACGTTGGGGCTCCACTTTTCCATGCAATATACCATCACAATGGAGTCACAAGTAAACCTCCCCTTTTAAAAACTTCTTTCTCTCAGACCAGCTCTGACCCTGCCTTGGCAGGGAGGGCGGGGGTATAAATTAAATAAATAACCTCAGTATTGCTGCCTCTGCAGTCTATATGCAAGCAACTATAAGAGAGCTAATAATGTGCAGATCTGGGGTTGGATCCCATGGGAGATTTTGTCTCCTTGTGCACATGGAAGCACTGCAGTGATTCCTTACTTCTGCTTGTGCTAAGTGATTGTATCTCCAACATCTTTTCCATATTCACAAGATATAGCTCAAGGTCTTTCTTCTGCGGTCACTTCGAAAGTAGAGTCAGTGAAACCACACAAACCATCTGCTGTACATCCCTTTGCTCCTTATGGGCATTATCTCATAAAAATTACATTCAAGCGCAACCTGTTGCTGCAGCCATTGTGCTACTGCTTGCGCAAGTGGAACTGTGCCAGGTACACTTTCCTTTCTGCTCATGCACCACTGGATCCAGACCATTGTTTTCATGGGCGTTTTGTGCTACAGTTGGACACTGTAAACT